CTATTGTATCCTGGATGTGGTTCAGGATACACCTCTCCGTTACTTTGGCCATCATTGGTAATAGGCTGATGGGCCTGTAGGACTTAAGCAGCTTCCTGTTTGCTCCCTTTTTGGGAACCAATACCACTATTGCCTTCTTCCAGGTGGTTGGGATGTACTGAAGTTCCAAGATTGCATTTGCCACTGTGGTGAGGTTCTCAATTGTTGCTTCTGGAAGTTTCTTGAGGACCTCATTTGATATTCCATCATGTTCAGGGGCCTTTTTCCTCTTTGCCCCCTTGATGAAGTCCTGGATGATCTCTCTGGTGACTTTTCTGACTGGAGTGGGCAGCCAGTTTTGGAAGTGGGCGGCTACTGTGTTTTCCACTTCCTCTTCTTGCTGTGGGTGATCAACCAGGTTAACTCTGCATTGGAGCTCTAGATGGTTGGCAAAGAGCTCCAGTTTCTCTTTGGGGTGTACAGTGGAGATTCCGTTTTCTTGGATCGGTGGTATTGGTTGCCTTGGTCCTTTGATGAGGTTCCTGGCCAGTTTCCATAGCTCTATGTTTGAGTCGTCAGCCTCTATTTCGTCCATGCGAGCATCCCAGTGCTGCGATCGAACTTCCTTGATGTCTTCCTGGAGGCGGTTGACTTGCCTTTTTAGGTATGGATCTTGTGTTCATATGGTTCTGTGTCGTATCCGGTTTTTCTCCCTGATTGGCTTTTAACTAGGGAGGTATTTGGTCTGTTTGGTTGACCGGTCTGATCCCGATGTTTCCGGTGCAGGGTCTTAAATACCCGCGGAGTCTGCTCTCATTGGTGCCAAAATTTAAGGTGGAGCTTGTTGGGGGTTTATGTTGCGACCTACCGCAGCGCCCTGCACAACGGTATGTAGATATTGTTGTGTCGGGCTGTATTCTCAAAGCCGTAACATTCGCTCGAAGTAGTTGAACGCGGGGGTGATGGGCCCGGGGTTCCGTGTTCTATCGCTTCATTTCTTTCCATTTGGGGGACCTTAGATTCCTCGATCTCGTTGTTCTTGGCGTGGTCGGATTTCCCACTAGAATTACGGTTTAACACGCTAAGAATTAGAAAAGTGAAGGACACTTTTAAACATAATGAAGCCAAAAAAAAACAATGATACTTTTGTGTTTACTTTTTGCTTGTATTGCGTTAACAACAGTTTATTAATTAGTTCTGCATTTTTGGAGCGTGTACCATGATTTTAGTCTCCCAAAAAATATATTAACTTTAAGGACCTGATTTCGCCCCGGTGTCCCCTACAGTTATTGACTGAAAAGTTTATTGGGCTTATAAGCACAGTTATAAGCATCGGTAATTCTTGAGGTTCCACTCACATTATTAAGGCTATGAGGTGTCGGCAGAAGTTATCTTCCGGGTGTGGATCTGTTGCTACCGCTGCATTTATACTGTCCTGAGCTTGTGGAACGGTGGTGGGGTAGAATGAGGCAACAAAAGCTCGACTTCAAAGCGCACCGAAATACTTGCATTCAGTTCTTGTTTAACGCACTAACGGAAGAAACGCACTAAGAATATTTTCTTTCTGAATTTTATTTATTGTTATAACAAAAAATAATTTTCTATTATAAAACAATGTGACAACGCAAAAAAAATAGAAAAATCGTTAACCTTTATAAATTAGCCAGATAGACCCCAGTCGCTCGACAATAAGGATAATATTAATATAAGTATAAATACAGACGCAGGCGCACCAGTTTAAGAACTAGACATCGCAAATAGTTGCGGAAGAACTTAAAGAAGTTCACCGCATATGCGAATGAAACGCCAGGAAGCAATTCTAGTTAGATCTATTAGAAGTTAGTTGTGTTAAATATGTTAACCAAAGCAATTGAAGCACTTATTCTAACTGTTTGGGGATTGAAATAATTATTATTGGTGTTTTAGCTAAATTTGTATTGTGAAAATGTTCTTGATATTGAACGTTTTTACCAAAAAAATGGCACAATCGGTGATTACAATGCGAATGAAAAATCTGCAGAGGAAGCGAAACGGAGGGCTTCAATTAAGGTTCTTGGTACATGGTATTTGGTAGATGCTATAACAAGGAAGCTGGATGCAAACATTCCAAAATTGAGAACCATCAATGTGATAGGGTTTCCGACAAATTATGGTACAGTTGTGAAGGCTTTCGCGGCCGGTTAAAACACATTTAGAAATGTTTTTCGGGCTGTGAAGCCGTGATCCATGGGAATTTCTTCCTGACGTTTCGTCCACAACTGCGGTGGACATTATCAAGGGCGATGAGGCAGTGGGCGAAGTGATCTCCCGTGCTTTCCGACTAAGACTGGTTCAACTACTGGATCCCCTGTCGCATTTATGCAGCCCGGCCGTGTGAGCTTATGCGTGGGGAGTGGGCGGGGCTTCAAATGTTTTGCCGCACGCGCTGTTTGCCGCAAAATGCGTTTCCAATCTGGATCTTAATCCCTTAGGCCGTTACCTCTTCTTTCCTATTAAATCTGTTGTCATGTTTAAAGATCTCAATGGCCTATTTGGTGGCAGTCTAGAGGTGCGTGCTCATTTTTTTATTTGTCCTAATAACCTCTTATGCCCAGTGATCCTAGGGTTTACACTACGTTTTGTGGTGCCGATATATTCTCTGCCACAACTGCATGGAACTCTGTAGACTCCTGGTGCTGATAAAGGATCCCGTTTGTCCTTGGCCGATCTCAAAGTCTGTTGGATTGTTGTGTCTGTTGGACGCATGAGCTCACACGGCCGGACTGCATAAAGACGACAGGGGATCCAGTAGTTGAACCCGTCTTAGTCGGAAAGCACGGGAGATCACTTCGCCCAATGCCTCATCGCCGTTGATATTGTCTACCGCAGTTGTGGACGAAACGTCAGGAGTAAATTCCCATGGACCACGGCTTCAAATCCCGAAAAACATTTCTAAATATAGTACAGTTATTAGCAAATTACATTCATAAGCGAAACAATATAAAAAATGCTAACGTATGGAGTAACTAACTCAGAAAAATGTTGAATTTCATTTTATAATTGTGTTTGCTAAAATGAATCAATTTAATTGTAATTTTCCCTATTTTTGTATTCAAAAGTTTTTGAAATTTTAATATTTCACAATTTACTACTTTGTTTTTCGTGGCTTTTTTAGATTTGGAAATGCGAACGATACTGTGTTTAGCTAGGATGGAGACATGCGGCATGAGTGTTAGTAAAAAATATCTGCAAAATTTATCGCTTTTATTGAAGGGTGAGCAAACCTCTATAGAAAAAATGTCGTATTCGTTAGCAGGAAGAAGGTTCAGTTTCACTTCATCTGCGGATGTATCCAGAGTAATTGGTAAGTCGTTGACTTTTAAAATAATTTTTATTATAAACTTATTGGTAAGTCTATAACTTCTAAAATAGTTATTTAGTAAATGTAATATAAACATTCATTCAAAAACAGTCGAAATTTGGTGAATTGGTTTTTATTTTTCTCTGACCTTATCTGAAGAGATATTTTAAAATAATTGCTACATTATTCCCACATAGCAAAATGATATTCCCAGAATATACCTGGAACATTCATGTGATGTACATGCATATTCCTGGGATATACATGAGTTCCATTATGAACATTCCATGGATGTCACAGGAATCTGTCATAGTTAATACACTGAATGTTCATGGTATGTTCTGGGAATGTACATGGTATGTTCAGTGAATGTACATGTGTACGTTTTGGGAATGTACCTGGTATGTTCAGTGAATATACATGTGTATTTCCTGTGAATCTACATGGTATGTTCAGTGAATGTACATGTGTATGTTCAGTGAATGTAAATGGTATGTTCAGGGAATATACATACATATATGTAACGATCGATAACAATAAGAAAAACGATCCTTTATTTCATCTTATTAGTTTATTCACATATTTAAGTATTTACTGATGTAATTTTTCAACAACAAGAGTTACTTACAAGTAATCTAAAACTAATTGAATGGATAATAAATAAATCAAAATATAACTTATAACTACGGACTAAAAATCTAAATTAACATTTTCAGCATTTTTGCCGTTGTCGCAATAATGTGTGACTGTGAGATAAAACACAAACCTTTATCTAAAAAACAGCATCTATTATTTTATATTCCTTACATGTTCCCTCTCTGTGGCTTTTGCCCTTTCATTTTGTTCTCGATCCATCATTAACAAATTTAATTCCAATTAAAGTGTTTCGCAATGTGCTCTTAACAAAAATTCTATAAGCAATTACAAATTTTAATATTGGTCACAACAACAAAATACAGTTAATAGTTTTACATTGATTGAAAAGTATTTTCGTTCATCCACATATTATTCTATTGTGTAGAAATACAGTTAGGTATATCAATTTTCATTGATACATTACTTTCATTTTACTTTTGTTGCTTTCCTTCGATCCAAGAAAACATGCTTATCGCAAAATAGAAATCAACCAAAATCAAACTGGTAAAAATAAAAAAATACAGATAATAGTTTTACATTAATAGAAGAATAATTAGGTTCAGACAATCTTACTTGTTTCTTTCTCACTGGATCTGGAGATCTGGTGATCCCTAGCATCTTCAATGCTTCAAGTCCATAACAGCGACATTACCTGTAGTATAGAACACGAAATAATGAAATAATCAAATGTATTTAATTTAAACACCAACATACCTTTACATTTTTGCCGTATCTTATGCGAACATTTTTCGTGTGTGGTTTGCTCACGTGATCTCTAGCGTCTTCAATGCTTCAAGTCCAGAACAGCGGTATCACATGTATGTTTAGAACAAGAAATAATAAAATAATCAAATGTATTTAATTTAAACACCAACATACCTTTACATGTTTGCGGGGTTTTAAGCCATAATTATACCGTAATTACCGTCTTGAAGACACATCATAACACTGAGGCACAAGCACGGTTTTTATATTTTGACTCATATTTATTTTATCACATCGGTTAATATGGATTTTTAATATTCTCAAGTTTTCGCAAAACACGTGATGTTCGTAACCAGAGATAAACATAGATAAAGACAGAGACAAGACTTGTCTCTGATAAAGACAAGCAGCAGTTGTCTTCTGTCTCCAATGTCAATCATGGAAAAGTGCTGAATTGTCACACCCCGGATCATCATCATGTCAATATCGGTTTATCATCACTGATAAACCGATATTGACAAAATCTAAATTTTGTCTTACTTAGAAAGATAGTATTCTAGTAACATCAACAACTTCATTGGTCCGCTCTCATTGTCACTATCAAATGTCACGTTATAGCCGGACGTAATCCGTGTACACACTAAGCGGGTAATTTGAATTTGCACTATGCATTTTAATTGTTTGAATTTCATAGGGTGGGAACTGTTAGTTCCGGATAAATTTATTTGAGTAATATAGAAGTTTTATTAATATTGCCCAATAAAATTATAACGTTGACGCATTTAAAAAGAAAAGTTCATATAAACTCTATCCGAAACAGGTTACGCCATGTTCTGCCACAGAGTGCATTACAACCTTTTCCACGTTTCTACGTGCTCTCAAATACCAGTCTTATCCAGACTGCCCCTGGCCATCCAATCCACAATTTCAGTGGTAAGACTCTTCACTCGGGAACCTGAACGCAGCTGAAAATATTTCTGTAAAAATTCAATCGAGTGGAAAAATCTAAAACAGCAGACAAAATGGTCTCTTGTCGAAAGTTGTAATCACGGAACAACCCAAGAAATCAAATAGACCAGTCTCAACGAAAAAAACCAAAAGCACCTAAACCCAAAACAGTATTAAGTAGGAACATACTTAATCAAACGCAAGTCGGTTCTTTTCAGAACCATAATTGTTTTCCAAATAAATAACTAGGATAAGAAGAAACAATGCAAATAATTTGAGAGCACGTACTCTTTTTGAATTTAAGTCTAAACATAAATAAAATGGTATTTTATGTATCTAAGACAAGAAGTAAGCTGTAATATACTAATTTATTTCTTTCTCAATAAGGAAAAGAATTAAATAACCTTACTCAAGTTAGAAGTAAAAAATTATTTAATTGTACGTGCCCTTACTTTTCTGCTGCGGACACCCAAGATTTATTTTCGACAAATTTTGTTAATTTGTTAATTAAAACACCACATTTTCAGTATTTCATAAGGGTCTCAGGTTTTAGTAGTAAGAAGATTTACCTTTAGTTGCCCTTACTTTTCTGCTGGGGGCACGCAAAATTTATATTCAACCAATTTGGAATATACCTATATTCATGTATATTACCGGAATATTTGTTTTGAACATACTAGGTATATTCACCTGGCATGTTCATCTGCACATATACCCAATATGTACATATATGTACATACCTAGGATATACTTTTAATGAACTTTGATGAATATTCATGCATGCATATTCCACGAACATTCATGTTAGGAATGTTCAACCATGTATATTCCCAGGATATTCCCGCAATGTTCTGTATATTTTCTGAACATTCTGGGATATTCATAGAATATCAAATGCTATCTGGGTTAGAAGATAATTTTACTTTCTTCAGTATTATACTCATGTACAGCGTGATTCACAACCTTATTGACACAGGGCAGGGGCGTGTAGGGGACCTCAAAACAAGTCGAATTTCCATTTAAGTTTTTTCCCTCAGACCCATGGTTAACGAGATACAGGGTGTTAAAGTTTTTAAGAAATATTGGTATTTTCTCTTTAACTCCTTATATTGCTCAAACTTTCAACGTCGACCACTGTTTAGACCTTTTACTCGTAGGTATGCCAACTGGTTTCGAAAATGTACAGGATATTTTTTATAGAGGAATACCCCCCTTTCCACCCCGAACTTTTTTGTGGTATGCTACTGACTTCGATCGAAATCATTTTTGCATTTGTTGTTTAATTTAAGAATTTTTAAAATGTCTTTTTTTCTTGCAATTTTTTCGTATCTGCCTTCGTTTTCGTATAGAATTTCTGCTTGCTTGTAAGGTTTGTCTCAAAAAAACTATCTGTGCTTTATTAGTAAAACTCTTTAACTTTTGTCGGAAATGTTCTGTTATCAAGATAATGATTGATCACAGAACGAATCCATTGAGAATCGGGGTTTCGCTTGTCTTCCATACATACACCAGGCGATCGACAGGATTGGAAGAATGTTAGAAAGGCACATCAGAACCATTAAACCGACAAAAACGATTAAACAGATCTTTCGGTCAGCCAAGGACAAACGAGATCCTTTAGCAGCATTATTGGTGTGGGTAGAACAATGCCGTTGCAGTTCGGTTCACTACTTAATTTTCCTGCGTTAAACCAGAGGCGTGGTCAGAGGTGTGACGGCTGTCTGCCTCAATCCGCTTTTTCGCTGTTTGTGCAGAGTAATTGTTTACTCTGCACCTATAGAATAGAACACCTATTTTATGTCATATTACATTGTATGTATCCTAATATTGTAATTAAAATGAAGCGATTTGTATGTGTATTCAGGTCATTTAGCTCAATCAACGTTTTAATGCATATGTTATCGTAGGTACATATAGAGGCAAAAAAGTTAGCACCAGGAAGCAAGTACTCGAGCAAAATGAGCACCCGATTTCAAAACTCGTTCTTTTGTGGCGTAAAATCAATTTCACATTGACAAACATGATTTATCCCCTCATCAGAGCATCCGAGGAAAATCGATTATATGGATCTTATGTCAGCCATACTGCCACTGGAAGAATTACGATGCACGAGCCTAATATTCAAATGGTGACCAAGGATTTCACTATTGTTAACCCTTTGTCCAAAAATAATGTCGTGATTAGCTGCAGAAGCGCATTTAACGCCCCGACCGACTATGTGTTGGTATCGGCTGATTATTGTCAATTAGAATTGCGTATATTAACATACTTGTCAAGGGATAAGGTGCTATCAGACATAATGAGAAAACCTGGTGATATATTTAAGTCAATAGCAGCCAAATGGAATAACACCAATGAAGAAATGGTAAAGTGTATTCAATATTATCAGATGATCAAAATGTCAAAACTACTTTTGTGAAAAGTTGATCATCACTGGCGTTGCAACTCTTACCACCCGCACACCCTTTTTGCAAATTAAAATTTAAATAATATGCATAGTTAAAACATTTTGCAAATATTATAACATTTAAAACATTTCAATTTTTCTTTCAACTTTAGATTATTTAGTAATATGGAATATTAAGACGTATATTAAGACGGAATATTAAGAAGAAGTTATTCACATGTTTGAAATACATTTTTATTTCAAATTTACAAATGGAAATTTTACTGCCGGGATGCAAAATCTAGTCAATTTTTAAATAATTACACCACTGTACGTTACGCCATTGCCAATGTAGTTTGTTATATACTTAAAATAGGTGTTATTCTAGGTGGATGAAAACATGAGACAAAATGCCAAACAACTTTGCTACGGAATAATCTATGGCATGGGAGCAAAAACTCTCGCTGACCAACTGGAGGTATCCATTGAAGATGCCTTTAGTTTCATGGAGAGCTTTCGAAATACTTACTCGGGTATTAAAGATTTTATTAAAAAAACCGTTGATTTTTGCAAAGAAAATGGTTATGTGGAGACAATCACAGGGCGAAGACGACTGCTGCCAAATATAGCATCCCCCGATTCCTCTATAAGCAGTAAGTTAAATCTAAATTATATACAGATGTTTGGTAAGTCAATGTATACCTTAATTGCATACCCAATAATTGTTATAATTGAAAACAAAAGTAGCACTAAAAACACGAGAAGTAGAGAATTTTTGCTCACAATATGAGAGATGACACCAGTCTCAGACAAATTCCCACCACATCACCCAACAACTTTAAAATGCGCGTCCGTCAGATGCTGCAAGCGATCGATTGTGCAACCGAATTGCCTCCAACAAACGGCGGGAGTACGGCGCATCGTAAGAGATCGACTATGCATACCGGCATAAGAGTTTTTGGGTTATGGTATTTGATAAATGTTATAGTGTAAGTAGTTTTGGCTATTTTCTTTAAATATACCATAGCCCAAAAACCCTTAGGCTCAGGAAAAAACCAGGAAGTCATACTGGACTGCAGCCCCATAAAATAGACTTATGTGCCATATCTGAAATATAAGAGAGGAAAAGGAACAGAACAATACGATGACTTGCAAGGAATGGCCTCGAAAGTCTATCTCCTTTGATAAAATGCCTCTACGGGGAGGAAATATCTAATTCATACCATCGGTTACATAAGATGCGCAAACGAAAAGCAGGACTCCTATCCCCACTCGCTTTCCTGAGCCGATGCAGGGATTCCAACATCATCCCCGGCTTCCTGAAGTGCAGAAGAACCCTTAGGACCACGCAAGCACACAGGATATACAACAGGACCGAGAAGTTATTGGAATATTCCGAGAAGACTGGAATAATATCGACGCTATCTCCCACAACAGCATGCAAGGAGAATTGGACAGAGCCACGAAGGGACAAAAGAAGAAATTTGAAAAATTGGAAGCCAAATAAATCTAGCGGAACGACCCAAACCACATCAGGCCTGGACCCAGCACGAACTGTAGTGAACCTGACCAGTCACTCACTAACGCCTGCGGAGCAATCTGTCTGAGCCAAGGGAGGAAATTTTGCTATTGGTGGAACGATATCAATACAGGAAATTATCTCGAACACCGAAACAGCATTGCAAGGGCTCCCAGAACAAGCGGCAAATGAAATACGTCTCGAAACCACCCACATCCTACGGAAAGCGAAACCACCACCAAGCAACCTAAGCAGAGAAGAACAACATGCGCTCAACGAAATACGAAGGAATACAAGCATTGTAGTCCTGCCAGCTGACAAAGGAAACGCTACAGTCGCCATGAACAGAGAGGAGTACGAGCAGAAAAGCCAAAACTTATTGGACCCAGTCACACAAAGCTCAAAAAAGACCCGACTCGGCCCAAGCTCAGAAACATCAACCGCCTGATCAAAATATCCTCAATAGACGAGAACACCATGAAGAGGATTATTAGGTCAGAAGCCCTCCCCTCACGTTTGTATGGATTACCGAAGATTCACAAGGAAGGAATACCACTAAGGCCAATCGTCAGTGCCCCGGGGTCACCCACTTACGATATAGCAAAATATCTATCCTTACTTCTGCAGCCACACTTGGGGTCCACAGAAACATACATCAAGGATTCCGAACATTTCATTAAGAAGATCCAAGACCTCAGACTGGAACCTACGGACATGCTGATCAGCTTCGATGTTGTATCTCTATACACAAAGGTACCCTTGGGCGAATCCATAGAATTAGTGGCGGAGCTATTTGTAGAAAGTACAACAAATCTGTTCAAGGCTTGTCTAAAGGGCAGCCACTTCCTGTGGAATGGAGATTACTACGATCAAAAGGAAGGACTAGCCATGGAAAGCCCACTCAGTCCGGTGTTAGCGAATCTATTCATGGAGAAGCTTTGAAGCAAGGAAACAGCGTTGAGCACCGGACCCTTTAAACCAACGATCGTACCGATATGTCGATGACACGTTCGTGCTATGGAAGCATGGACGCAAAAACCTGAACATCTTCCTCGACCATCTACACAAACAGCACCCAGACATCCAATTCAGCATGGAAGTTGAACAAAACCACCAACTGGCCTTCCTGGATGTTTTGGTGCCTAGGGAGGGGAAACGTTTGGACCACAGGGTATATCGAAAAGCCACCCACACGGACATATATCTTCACAAGCTATCTAACCACCATCCGAGTCAAAAGCAGGGAATCAGTAAGACTCTTACGGATAGAGCCAGAAAAATATGTGGACCACAACATCTAACCACAGAACTACAACACTCGGAAAGTGCCGAGTTGGACATCAAAAAACCTGTGGGGGTGGGCCGTGCTGAAAAAAGTGAATCCACTCTGAAAGATTTCCTGCCCTTTGTTTCCAGGGTTACGGACATAATTGGGAGGCTCCTGAGGAAACACAACATAAGAACAATCTACAAGCCCACAACAAAGATCCGAGAATGTCTGGGGTCAGTTAAAGACAGAAGACCCCCCTCGCAACTGCAGAAATTTACCGCATTCCATGCTCCTGTGGAAGCGTCTACATAGGAACTACTAAGAGATCGGTTGTGACAAGAATAGAAAAACACCGAAGGAATTGTAAACTGGGACATGTGGGAAAGTCGGCAGTGGCGGAACACGCCCCCCTCAGCGATGGAATACACAACATCTATTTCGGAGAGGCACAGGCCCTGGCCACAACAACAGGGTATCGCCCCCGACTAATACGAGAAGCCATTGAAATCCACAAACACGACGACAATTTCAACAGAAAAGAAGAGACAATGGCGCTAAACAGGATATGGTTTCCAGCACTCACCAACGCAAAAACAGCAAGAAAAAGCAACAGCTCAGGACAGGAGAGAGAATCCAGTGTACCGGAGGATAGCAACAGCCAACAGAATGCACAGGCTCCGATAACACAGGCCACGTCATCGCAGTCGAACGAAAATTCTACCGAACGACGGCCTAAAAACCCGAAACACCATTAGTTTCAATACGAGAACTACTTTCTGATTTACTCAGGCAAACCAAAAAACCCAAGAGCAGCATCGGGAGTTGGAATGCTGATCAACCGAAAATTCAGGGACTGCAGTCAAGAATAGATTTAATGCGGAGACACTGAACGAGCGGGGTGTGAAGCTTGTGAAATTTTGCCCTTACCAGGAACTATGGATTAATAACACATACTTTAAACACAAAGTCACGTTCCAGGACAACAGAGGAGTAACGTCCACAATAAATAGAGCCATTAAACCAGAGCAAATGCAGGATGGCAGATCACTAACATCGGCAAACATGGGATCAGACCATAACATAGTAATGGGAATAATTATCACGGTAAGACCACCAGCCAATAAGAAGAAAGCACTCTGTACAAACGGCGCATATCCCAAAAAATTGACAGGGAACCCATCCTCCAGCAACACACAGTAGACCGCGCATGGTACATCCTACTAAACTACATAAAAGAAGCAGCGGAGGAGGCACTAGGCAAAAGAACAGTCACCACAACGACTAAAGTCATAAATAAAAAATCATGGCTCAAACCAGAGGTGAAGATACTGGCCCACCTAACATACACGACCAACAAGAGTCCAAGAAACCACACCAAAAATCTCGAAACAAGGAAAACAGTAAACAACCGCATAAGGGAAGTAAAGAGAGAACATTGGGAGAATTTCAAACAACCAAAAACTCATATGTAAAATGCTCAGAACAACAAGGAGGGAAGTGAATGAGACAGTACAATTAAATAACATCTGGGCAGCCGAATGGACCACCTACTTTCAGGGCCTGTATACAAACCGGGACGAACAGAAACAACGAAGGCCCAAAGAGCGGCAGAGGTTGAACCGAGGGGAAGCCATATGCATCGAGGATGTAGAACAATACTCGGTAGAGTAAGTGATATCCGAAATTAAGTACATGAAAAACAGTAAATCTCCAGGCCCGGACAACGTTCCAACGAACTGCTGAAGGAAAAGCTCTGGCTAGACAACTGGCCGAACTATTCAACAAACTATTGAAGGACGAAAATACACCAGCGAGATGGAGACACAGCATCACAATCCCAATATGCAAAAAGGGGAAAACCTCAGATCCGGCGAATCACCGAGGAATATCGCTACAAGACGCGACCATGAAATTCATTCACCCGTATGCTGCAGCAACGCATTCTCAGTTACACCACAATAAACAAAGAGCAGCAAGATTTTCCGAAAAATCGTTCGACGATTGACGCACTGCTAGTTTTCAGGAAGGTTGTAGAGAAGACAATAGAGTATAACAAACCAGCATACCTGTGCTTAATAGATTCGACGAAAGCGTTCGACAGGATAAGACTGGAGGACGTTAGGAACGAGCTCCTGCCCCAGGGGAATACTCCCAAGCAGCACGGAAACGGTTAGAAACTTCAACACAAACAACACCATAACAATACGAACAAAATTAACAACAGACAAAATAGAGCAAAACACAGTGATACGACAGGGAGACAGTCTCAGACCACTGCTGCTCAACATCATACTGAACAGAATAAACTGCGCAAGACCAGACATAGAAGATGGGAAACCAAAAAACTGCAAATAAGAAAAATTTTTGTAAAATGGCGAAAATCTGATAAAGTCGCAAGTAAGAAAAAAAAACAATTTACGATGCACAGCTAATAATTCCACGAGCTAATAAAAAATGGGTAGTTCTATTTAAAAAAAAAATACACTTTGATCTTGCCTCGCTTTTCTGAGACACTCTGTATCGTATAAGATATTTTTAAAATGTGCGCAATTTGTGCGTCAACAAGTTTTATATGAAACTATTTTTCGAAAGTTTAACACCATCGGAAATAATGGACGCTATCGCACTAAAAAACCACCCTGTATAAAGCATGTATCAGGCCCGTAATGCCACACGGCAGAAACACGAGCTGACAAAGGGGAGACAAAAAGGATGGCACGAACTATCGAAATTAGAATACTAAGAATGATCAAAAAGAAAGTGACGCAATTAGGGAAGAATGCAAGACAGCGGACGTGGTTAGATGGACACGCGCTAGGAGACGCTTCTAGAACGAGCACATATCTAGAATGTAGGACCACAGGCTGACAAAAATCGCCAGAAATTCAAAATTAGCATCCGGCAGACCACCAGGATGGCCTTCTCAGAAGTGGAAGGACAGCTGGTCGTCGGCATCCCAGGAGGGACAAACGAATGGGTAAAACAGGCCTAAAGGCTTCCGCAAAGAAGAAGACAAAATATAATTTAAAAAATGTTTATATTATAAGAGCTGGAAACATGCAATTTTAACGTAACAAATAATACGCCACGTCATTGACTTTTGTTAAAATAAAACGATGCTCAATTTGGAAGAAAAGCGAACTCTTCGCTCTTTCTATGACACGCCGTTCTCGAGGAAAAAAATGTAACTCGATCAGCAAAGATCTTGATTGACTTACCAAGTATTCTGTATAGTAGGTCATGAACCTAACAACTAAGACTAACAAGAAAACGACAATAAAAGTAAAAATAAATTCTTAATTAATTTTTACTTTATTTAATTGGTTGACTATTTCAGGTCAAGCAGAACGGCAGGCAGTCAACACAACGGTTCAGGGATCAGCGGCTGATATAGTCAAAAACGCCATGATTACCATAGATGATAAAATGGAGCAAGTGTTTAAAAAGTCTCGATTCAAGCCAAGGTTAGTATTGCATTTGCATGATGAGCTTATTTACGAAGTGCCTGAAAAATATATTGAAAAAACCGTTAAAGTTATAAAGAAGGGAATGGAAAATTCGGTATCAGCTTTTGGATATTTCCCAGTAAAAGTAAAGGCTGGAAAATCATGGGGTCAGTTATACGAATATTGTAAGTAGGGATCCGTACAGTCTGTTAAGTGATTCAATTAAATACTGGAATATTATGTTGCCAATTTCGGCCACAAATAACAAATCGTCAAAAAATAATTATATTTTTGAAATATTTCATGAGTCAGTACAATTATTAATCACTTAACAGAAAATATCGATGCCTTATATTATAGTTATATACACTTAGTTGTGATACATTCTAGTGCCTTCAAAATTGTTTAATAGTCATTTATCATAGTCAGCGTTGTTGTGGATCCAGAATCTGGTTATTCCAGAAAGAACTGTATCAAGTGTTCCATAACAAGAGTCATAATGTCAATTTTACAAATATCTATTGTTATCTACCTATTAATTTAAAAATCGTGTGTTGACTTTTTGGTGTGTAGCTTATTATTGAGTATAGATGTTGATAGAACAAATTTTCATGCATACTTTCTACTTTTCATCATTCGCGATACTACAAATGAAAACGTTTACATTTCATTATCGCATTTGCTTTGTATCAAGAAAGTTTAGTCAATAGCTATCAACATCAAATATTCTTCATATCATAGTAATTACAAATATTGCTGGGCATGTTTCGTTTAATGCCTCATAAGCATCATTCTTGTTTTATTGCAAATTAATGAAGTGGCATTTATCGTATTCTGAGGAAATATGATCAATTTATATTTATTAACTTATTTATTTTTATTTGTATACATATTCCTATTTACCTAAGTTTACACATTTTTTCGGTGATATTTAAAACAAACATGTACGCATTGCTTGCTGGAGGTTATAACGCAAGTAATTCCAGGGGCGAGTTCAGAAACACACCTTATTGTTTACAGGAAAATAGGCAACATTTTGAACAACTTATAATGGATGTCCATGTCCATATTGCTCCTGCAATTCTCCAATTACATTCTGCAATTCACCATAGGTTTTTTGGAGCGCCTTTTCTCGCTCCATTTGTCTATCTACATCTTCGGTCAGCGACTAAAACAAATGCATATAAAAACAACAGTATACTCGCAATATCCTAATTCAATTAGGGCAAAAATCGAAAATAATCTAACTTTTCTTAGGCGGCACAAATTTAACTTATTTCTAAAGAAAAAACGGACATTATCAAAAACTATTTTTTTAACTGTTCTGTGACTTGGACGGAAAAAAGTATTTACTCTTGTTTATTAATAAAATGAACTGGTGGCAGACTTGTGCGCGCAAACATGATCACAGGTGAAAATGTTGATTCACTCAGACTATCAAAAATCATGTAGGAAGCAAGAATAAACATTGCTCTAATATTATATGATCTCAGATTGTACAAACCTGTATTCTCCTTGGCAAGGCACTTCTCTCTTGCTCTTGAAGGAACTTGAATGTTTTCAATTCCAGATTAGCTTGATCAATGTTTTCATACATATCATGCAATTGTTTAACTAGCGCCTGTGCTCTTGACTGATAACCTCCCGTCAATATTTTCAGCTTCTTTTCCATTCTTGCGGCTTTTTTAGCTTCTTTCGCCATATGGCCTCGGTTTTGTTCCAGACGTTTTTCAGCAGACTCTAACCTATTGTATGAAGTATAATTTACATTCAAAACATAATTTGTCTTGTGTTGCTGGAATGGTCAAAACCCAGTAGTAGGTAACTCTCATCCTAATAACTTATTCAAACTGTCATTGATAACACCTTATATTTTAATAATATTTATCAAGTAGTATTGAAATAAAACATTTTATCATATTAAAATGACAAATAAAATCACAAAAGTCTGCGTATTAAAGAACCACAATCAAAGCAGATTCTTTATTGTTTCAGAAAAAGTCCATACTTATTTGATTTTGTTAAATAGCCAAGTCATTATCCTAAACAGCAACAATAAGGAACACTTACCGATCTTTTTTACTTGCAAGATTAGCTCTAGTATATCTGTTCTGATTTGGCAAAAACAGTACTTGGCGAAGACACTCTTCCCATACTTGGGTATAGGCATCCATAGGTAGATCGCCATGATTCATTCCTTTTTTCACTACTTCCATTTCTTTTTTCAGCATGTTTTGGGCAACATCAAGTTCTTCAGATTGAAAACTAAATACGAAAAAGCGGAATACGGCGATTCTGTTACTACTAATCAAATTTTCTTATTACGCTAAAGTGACCACACGTCCCGATTTTGGCGGGACAGTCCCGCTTTTTGGTGGACTGTCCCGCGTTTTTTAAAAATGTCTCGCTTTTAAAAAAATATCTGTATTTCTTATTTTAAATGTACAGTAAAAAGTATTACATATAAAAGTATTTTTGCTTTATTTTTTTTTTGATTTTTTTTATTTTGAAGATTTTTTGATTTTTATTCAATAGCGCTCTATTTTGTAGAGTTTCACTTAAAAAGGCTGACGATCTTGAGGTCTGTTATGCGAAAAATTACAAGATACATTTATAGCTTTGTAAAAATTTTACAAAAACTTTTTCAGCGTCGAATTCGGGACAAGAACGAAAATAAATTCCTCCCGCTTTCCCCGAAAACAATTAGGTTTTCTCCAAAACCGATCATAAAACGAAAAGTTTTTAATCGAAAACGCAAAAATACAATTATTTTACGATGATTTTCTTCTTTTCTGATAATAATGGGGGAAAATGACGGAATTTATTTTGCTACAAAATTCGCCGCATTCATTGATTTGCAGGGAACTTTGTCACAAAAACCAAATAATTTAATCCAGTTTTTTACCAAGAGCAAAAGTTTACAAAAAATATTTGGAAAATTCGGCGCCCTCATCGGTCTGGAGATTTTTAAAGTTCCTTAAATTTTCAGGTCATTCCAGTTTTAAAAGTTTCTATTAAGCAATTCTTTCTACCCAAAAATCACATTCATTTTCAGTTTTACTTATACTGACAATCTTTATTTTCTTAAATTAGGTATTTTCTGTGAAAAATTCTACGATAAATTTGACTGGAACATTCGCCTCATTAACCGCTTTGCAAACATTTTTTAAAAACTTTTTGAAGCGTCGAATTATGGACAAAACCCTAATAATTATTTCTGGGTTTTTTTTCCAAAAATATTTCGTCGAACGGAAAAAGCCAAAGTTTATAATCATTTATTGGGAAAACTTTTGGAATCTGGGGTTTCTTCAATTTTAGGTCAATATTTCTACAACACTGTCTCTAAACAGAAAAACCGCGTTTTTCCTAACGTTTTACTGTAAATAACTGTCAAAAAGATTAATTTTATGCAAAAAAATTAAGAGATTGATTTTACAAGAAAACTCGTCGACTTTCTATGGACTCAGTTCTGTTGATGGAAAAATCTAGATTACTTTTTTTAGTTGTTTGAACTAAGTAGTAAAATGTTACTCAGAAAAAATGTTGATGACGGGTCTCGTAAAGCTTTAATAAATGTCTTATTAACCGATGTTGATAACTCAACCAGCGACAACAACTCAATAGCGCCATGCAACACAGTGTCCAGGCTTAGTCTCGGGTGTCAAATGCCGTCGTCGTTCGAAAAACGATACTTTTTCGCCCTTGTATCGAAAACAACAGTGACCAATTCATGTCAAATGTGTGTGAAATATTTGATAAGAAATTACGATGTTATTATAATTTCTTTTAAATATTTTTATGGTTACCAATGATTAATAATAAATACATTTTTATACAAGTATATGATATATACAATAAAAAATATATAACTAAATTGTAATTCTCATTTCATCCCATGTGCCCCGCTTTGTCTCAATGAAAATGTGGTCACTTTATATTACGCGTATGTAACTTTTTTTACCCGTAAATAGTATTTAAATCATAAACTTAAGGTGGCGAAGAGAAATTTTTCAATCTGGAGATGAATAATGTATTAATTGCCTTGATAAGTGTTTGTACCATTTGTAAAATCCTCAAGATATTCTCAATTCTCACTTACTTGTCATACGGATTCTCCTCCATGAAAGCCAATTGCTGAGCATGAATTTTGCTAGATTGCTTTGACTGCGTGGGTTGTGGATTTTTTATATTATCGTACTGTAGCATAGTAGCCATTTCTAACTTGATTAATTCTTCAGCCTTCTGAAGATCTGTTAACGAGTAACTCTCATTCGGAGGCCGCAGAACCGACAAGTTTACTTCCTGTGGTCTAGGAAAATCTCTTTGAATCACTTGAGATCTAGATGCAAGTTCTTTTGCAGCTTTAGCTTTCATCTCCTCCTGATATCTCTTGTCCACATCTGCTTGGTCTTCAACCGACCTTTCTGAAATATTGAATTAAATGAAATCACTTCGCAATACAAAATTTGGATGAGAATGGATTATACCTTGCGCCTGTTCTGGAATCGTCTGATCTTCATGGTCGGGAACAACAATTTCATAATCATTTTTCGGTTGTGGTAAACTACTAAGACCCATTTTCAATTGTTGCTTTAGTGACGCTTGATACATCAGATGTTGGGCTGGGGTATCACCAACATTCAAATGCTAAAACCGAAATAATTTTAGGCTATAGCACAACCCAATTTATCATACAGGATGAGCTACGCCCAAAGCTACCACTAGGTTCAATTGATACTAAGAACGTTAATGAGAAAAGTGTCAGTCCCACGTGTAATTACACACAGGGTCCCGAAATGAAATGGGAAGATTTCGCATATAATTTCATGGTATAAAATTTTCTTTTTATTAACTAATTAAGATCTTAATAAAAAGTTAAAGAATAGTCGTTCGGTATACAATTGAAAACACTATTTTTTTAATACTTACATCAGTCAAATGGCATCCGTTTCGATTTATGCATTGCAATCGATTCAATCCATAAATTTTTTTTTAAAAGTTATATGCTTAAATTTACTTTCCCGGATTTACTACCTTTTTTAACAATAGTACTCTTAACCAGAATGATGGACTTCTTATTTTAATCAATAATAATATTAACGTTGAAAGTAAGCATACAATTACACCAATATCAAATGTCGCTTTGACGAAGGTTCGATTTAGAGTAGGTAAAACATCTTAGAACGTTGTGACTGGTTACAGATCACCCTCCACGTCAGAACAGCATTTTGTGCAGGATCTTGAATTTTTTTTACGTAACCTTCAATGTGAGGATTTTATAATTTTCCTCGGGGATATAAATATAAACATTTTGAATCATAGCTTGATGATTGCAAATTTTTACCTGGCCGCTCTTTTGTCGTTGGGTTTTACATCATCCATAAATACATATACTAGAGTTACAGCCGATACCAAGTCTTGCATAGACCATATCTTTGTTAAACGGAACCAAAAAAACGCTAATTTAAACCTGTATTCTGCAGTCATCAACAACATACGACAGACCATTATCCAATTTATCTACAGATTTCTAATAAAGACCACGTTAGAACACTACCCATAAAAATCTCAATGAATAAGTTTGACCACATAAAATTAAAAAACTTGATCAGCCGGGAATCTTGGAACGCTATCATATCGGAAAGAGAACCACAAATAGCATGGAACTTATTTTACAATAAATTTAGCGCCATATATAACAAATGCAGAAGAACAAATGTGTTAAGGAACCAAAATAAACAAATGTAATTATAACTTCTATAAAATGCCGTGATCGATTAAAGAAAATAATGATAAGGGATAGAAACAATGAGTTTCTTATTAAAAGATATAGAACATATAGAAACCACCTTAAATAAATTATAAATGAAGCTAAAGCCAGATATTATCGTGAAATTGTTAGTGTCAACAAAAATGATATTAAAACAATTTATAAGATTATAAATGAAGCAACAAACTCAAACAAACAAACAAAATAACGTTGACATTAATATATTGGATGGTAGAAATAACAAAAAACCCTTTGAAAGCACAAAACAGATGGCCAACTACTGTAATGGTTATTTTATCCAGGTAGCACAACAAATGGCAGCTAAAATACAGCCATCTAGAAATTACAACAGCTGCAGTAACTCTTGCATTTCTCAGAACATGTTTCTTAAACCAGTCAGTGAAGATGAGCTTATCCTGCGTATAGCTTCTCTTAAAACAATAGTTCTCCAGGTCATGATGGCGTTAGTTCCAAACTTGTAAAGGAGTGTCATTTGTACTTAATTGAGCCACTCACACACATCATAAACCTAAACTTACTGCAGAGCAGTGTTCCCTGCGATTTCAAAAAATCAATAGTGGTACCAATCCACAAGTCTGGCAGCAAAACTGAAATCAGTAATTATCGCCCAATAAGTTTAATCACCACTTCCGCTAAGTTGTTTGAAGACTGGATTAAGGATAGACTATATGATTTTTTGGTTAAGTTCAAAATTTTAAATGAAAATCAATTTGGTTTCCGAAAGGGCACTGATACAACGCATGCCGTATTTAAACTTGTTGAAAATTTATCAGCAGATAAAGAAACTGAATATTTCTTGTAGAAGGTTACAAAGAAAGTTAGAAAACAGGTTGTGTCAATACCGCCTATTAGAAAGGGACTAAGCGATTGGGCTCGTGATCATTAATAAAAGCTCTATTTGCTGAATATCTGGCAGACGTATTTGTACCAAACGACATACAAAACAACGAACACCATAAACCACCGGTTGCAGGCAATATTTCGTCCTCCATTTCGATCGACATAATTGCTCCTGTTACTCCAAAAGAAGTAGCAGAAGAAATTAATAATAATCTCAGCCCAAAAATCCCCGATCAAACCACTCTACAATTGATCAAGTGCACCGAATAACTGATGTAATACAGAACTCACTAGAAGAAAAGAAAGTATATTCAGCACTATTCCTCGACGTATCGCAGGCGTTGATCATCGCATGATTCCGTGTGGGGTTACTAGTCTTTCATGGGGCGCCGCCCCAGGTGGCGAATAGGGAGATGGGTGGTACCGCGGAAATCAAATACTCGGGGCGGACCAAAACTAGCACCCAGGATACGACGGTCTCCATGTTAGGAGCGGTAATCCGACAGCGTCAGTTCTCCACGTAGGAGCGGCTGAAAACATAGTCCGGAAAGGAACGGGAAACTACCTGACTGATATGAACTCCCCAAGACATCACAATGGATACACAAAATCAAGCAACGGCCCTCAGTCCCGGGCACCCCTTAAATGGGGAGAGGGTGCTAAGAATCCCCCGGTCTTCCAATGATGTCTTCAAAGTGAAGCAAGAAAAGAGAATTGGCACCTGGAATGTGCAAAGTATGTACCAAGTCGGAAAGACGGCAAATATAGTGAAAGAGATGAAACGACTCCAGATCGACATAGTAGGATGCAGCGAAACAAGATGGCCAAACTCCGGCCATTGCATCATAAACGAACACCACATAAATTTCTCTTAAGATAATACAACCAGAAACAAAAATGGAGTAGCAATAATTCTTAATAACCAAACCAACATGACCGTAAAAGGATTCATCCCTGTGTCGAATAGAGTCGCATTAGTCAAGATCAAGGCTAAGCCATTTGACCTTAACATCATACAATCATATGCACCGACATTCAAAACCTATGAACAGGAAATAGAGGAATCCTATGAACAGGAAATAGAGGAATCCTATGAACAGCTCAGAACATAATTATGTGCGACATGAACGCTAAGATCGGACAGGGAAAAGTTCACGGTGTGGTTGGTGGTTTTGGATTGGGAGCGAGAAATGAGAAGAGAACGATTAATAGAATTCTGTCAAGAAATGGACATCACAATCATGAACACTTTTTTTAAACTACCTCCCAGAAGACTGTACACTTGGAGATCCCCAGCTGATAACAACCATAGAATCGTGAGGAATCTAATCGACTGTGTGATGATAAACAGGCTCTTACTAAACTTCGACTAAAAAAAAAAGTCAAAAAGAAACCAAGTGCTGACATGCAGAAACTCAAACAAGACAACGTACTCCAGCAGACAAAAGAGAGACTAAACAAGGAACTCAAATCTGAAAACAGCACAACAACGAAACAGAAATGGAAGACCTGTGGAATAAAATAAAAATATCTACTAAAACCGGATAGGATGCTGAAAAGACAACAATGGATGACATACTTTATCTTAGAACTTATGACAGAAAGAAGACAACACAGAAAAAGGGACAATGTAAAATACAAGGAACTACACAGAAAAGTGCTAAGAGCAATTAAAGAGGCTAAAGAACGGTGGCTGCACGAAAAATGTGTCGAAATCGAAATCTTACAAGAGAAGCACGACAGCTTTAACCATCATACGAAAATATGGATACAAGAGACGGGGTCCAGGGATAATCTTGGACTCGAATGACATCATTACCGAGACTGACAAAAAACTCACAAGATGCAAGCAGTACATGGAGGGTCTTTTCGAAGACGAAAACATCGACAATGTACCCGCAGTGGTTGGCGGTCAGCTACCAAACGACTAAAAAACAACAAAGCTCCTGGGCCAGACCAGATCCATGGAGAAGTCCTCAAACTACTAGACACAGACCAGATAAAACTGCTGACCAATATCTTCAACAAAATTTACAAGGGCGGTCATATGCCAAACGACTGGCTGTTGCCAACATTCATCCCGATTCCCAAAAAGACAATCGCAACTAAATGCTCAGACCACAGAATAATCAGCCTGATGAGTCACATCCTAAAAGCCTTTCTTAAATCATCCAAGCACGCGTATTTGAGAGACTCGACGAGAGAATAAGTGACACACTGTTTGGCTTCAGGAAGGGACTTGGCACCCGAGAGGCCCTATTCTCCCTACATCATCGGCAACCTACAGTTTACCGCTAACAATGTGGTTCTCGCAATGGCCGAGACAGTTACATACCTAGGATGTACCTTGAATAAGGACTGGGATCACTCTCGAGAAATATAGATAATAAATATATAAATAAAATAAAATATAAGTAAGATGCCGAATCGAAAAAGCAAGAGGTACATTTAATAAGATGCGGAACATACATGCAACTAAACATTCATACTAGAATAAGAATTTTGAAATGCTATGTACTCTCAACCCTCCTATATGGGGCGGAAGCGTGGACTCTCACTGATGACTCATGTAAGCGCATAGACGCATTCGACATGTGGTGCTATCGCCGCATACTCAGAATCCCATGGATACACCATGTCAAACAATATGGTATTACAACGCATCGGTGGACAACTAGAATACCTACCAAATGTCAAACGCAGAAAATTGGAATACTTTGGGCACATCATGCGAAATGCAAAATAGCACCTTCTTCAACTCATCCTGCAGGGGAAAATAGAGGGGCGAAGGTCAGCAAGACGCAGCCGAATAACGTGGCAGCGAAATTTACGAACATGGACCGGAATGACATCAACAGCTTTATTCAGAGCGGCAGTGAATAGAGTAATTTGGACCAAAGTGATAGCCAACATCCACAGAGGATAGGCACTTCAAGAAGAAGATCGCAGGCGTTTGACAAAGTATGGCATGAAGGGCTAGTCTACAAACTAGGTAAAATGTTACTCCAACCATACGTGAAACTTCTCGCTTCATATATCACTAATAAACTATTGAGAATCAAGCAAGAAGGAGCTTCCTCAGAGTTAGAGGAAATCCAAGCGGGTGTGCCGTGCCACAAGGGAGCGTTCTAGGGCCTGTCCTGTATTTACTTTTTACCAGTGATATACTCCACACGAAAGAAGTTACAATAGCAACATGCGGATGACATAGGATTAATGTCAACTGACACAAATCGAGTAACAGCCGCACAGAGACTACAGAAAGCGAGCGATGCTGTTTCTAAATGGACCACCAAGTGGAAAATTAAACTTAACGGAATTAAATCGACCTATGTTAACTTTACCAACCAACATTACACAGATCCCGCAGTAATAAATATTAATGGAACCCGCGGCCCATATGCAAATACTGCGAAATACCTTAGTATCACTTTGGACACTAAATTAAGATGGAATGAACATGTCAGAAAGAAAGTAAAAGAGTTAAAATCTAAAATTGAGCAATATAGATGGCTGATTGGCAGGCATTCCAAGATGACTTTGCATAACAAACTTTTAATTTATAAACAAATTATTAAATCTACATGGCTCTACGGTATTCAACTATGGAGACGAACAAAAAGCACACACATAAAAAAGATTCAAACGGTCCAAAATAAGGCATTACGTGAAATAGCCAATGCCCCATGGTTCGTCAGAAATAAAGATCTTCACAGAGACCTTGCAATCCTGACTGTTGAACAGACAATCAAACGGTATGCAAAGAAACACCAAGCTAGACTACAGCTACATCCGAACGCAGAAGCCCGCCAGCTGCTAGATGATCAGAATTTATACCGCAGATTGAAGAGAACGAAGCCCTTTCAATTGAAATAGTGTGTTAAGGGCAGACCATAGTGTGCGTGTAAATATTGTCTATCTTCTGTGAGGCTAAAGCTTGGAAAGCCAATGGACTGACTTAGTCAACTATTCTGATTTTAAGACAACAGATAAAAACTGATGGTTGGTCATGCTTGACTAGTTTTAATAAATAATATTAAATGAAAAAAATATTTTCTAACGATTGACCATATCTAGCGCGTCGATAGCCAGACGGATTATTTAATTATTTCGGGAATGAAAACAGAATGCGGTGTTGCCACGTATTTTTGCGTCAAAGTTTGAGTTAGATTGTTTGTGTTAGCAGGTTGAAGTTATTTTTTTAATGAAACTAAAAAAATATATAAAAAGTAAAAGTTAATAACCCGAAAAGACCTAAATAATCTAAACCGACCCAAACTGAAAGAATCTACATGCTAGGTGTCCAAGAAAACAATTTCCATGAACTTAAAACGTTTTGCGCAGCATGCCGCTCGAAATGTAAGTGAAAAAATGGTGATTTGCCTCGAACTTTGTGAGTGTTTTTTGGCTTAATTTATGGATCATCCAGGAATTTTTCGCTGAAACTGCTCAATTTAAGATAAAACCAAAAAAAAAAACAAAATATCGGAGGGACTCAAACCACCCGATCACCAAATATCCTTCTGAAGCTTAGCCTCTGTATGAATTATAATTAGCCTATGATGGCGCCGATGGCGGTGCCTTAACACCGCCCGGCTATACTCAAGATGAAGCGAAAAACTTACCTCTTCCAAATTAATGTTTAGTTTATCTCTAATTGATGGAGTGACATATGCAGCTGCAGCGCCACCAACTGGAAGCATTGCTCCACTTTTAGGAGTCATGAAACCTACACTTCCTGGAGTAGCGCTCCCGTCGCTTCGGATTGACCTAAATGGAGTAGCTAACACGGTGTTGGGAGTAGCAACCACCTATAAAAATTGTATATAGTGCCAACTGCTTCGAAAGACACTCTTTAACAACATTGTCCAGTTCAGTTAAATAATGAATTTAAAATAGAGCTTCAGTAGGATAAATAACTGACCTGTTGTTGTGGAGCAACACCACTAAAATCAGAATTGTGAATGGTGGTATTTAATCCACCCTTAAGAGGAGTATCAACATGCGTGAGAGCCATCACGTTCTGAGCTTCTTGCATAATTCTAGAAAAAAAATATAAAATAGTATATTTACGTTGACAATACACTATTAACAATGATTTACTCCTATTTACATTATTTTTTAAACTAACAGCGTGTCCGGGAAATGGTGCGTCACTTTTTCGAAAACTGAATAATAACTGAACAACAGGGCGATGTTCTTAGGTTAGATTTTTTAAACTAATTACCTGGAATAACTTTTTTGTTGTTTTTGGTGTTAAAGGTGTTGAGCTCACCCATGGATATGTACTTAATACCCTAAACTTTTTTGTTTTTTGCTTTCTGTTGTGTGTGGCTTCAAAAGCTAAATGAGCGCTCAAAATTGCGTAGTAAAGCTTTACTTGTCACATCTCTTTAAAACAAGCCGCTTTTGAGAAAATCTACTTTTTAAATTGCCTTGTACGATGTAAATAATAACACACGATAAATTATTTCCAAATTAAAAAAAACTGCCATGAAAACAAAAGCTCTGAGAATTAATGATTACTTATTAAATATTTAATTAGCTAATGAGTTAATTAGTAAATAAGAAATTTAAATTTTTTTTCTCGATAACGAAGCTTTCTGTCGAAGGAAGTTATTCGTTATAAAATCTTGGACCCATTGAGCACTTTCCAATGGTATTTTGCCCAACAGCTTTCATAACTTCGATGAAATAGCGAAAATGTGGTTTTCAAAAAACTGCAAATACATCGATAACCAAAAGAGCTGAACTGAATCTAATCAGTCAATTTCGTCTCTTTTCAAGAAAGCGTACAGATAGCGTATAGATTCTAGATTCTTTCCAATTCTGTCCGTTGCCCTGGGGATGAAAGGCAGAAAGACCCCTTGAGTGGTCGTACTCTTTTCGGTACGGTTCACGCCTACTGCTCTTTTGATGACAATATGAGAGTATCCATTTTGAATGAAAGCCCTTTCTAAATGGTGTAGTACCGCTGTTAGGTGTTGTGGTCGGTCATCGACACTGATTAGCATGTCCGTTGATTCCAATCTCAGATCCTTAATTTTGCTAATAAAATGTTTAGACTATCTGATATATGTGAGAGATCACAAGAGAGACTAGATATTTTCCCACATTGTATGTGGGTGATTTCGGGGCACTGATAATCGGTCTAAGTGGGACCCATTGCTTGTGAATTTTGGGTAATCCATACAAACGTGGTAGAAGGGCTTCTGACTTAATGATCTTCTTCATGACGATATCGTTCAATTAATCTACTACATGGGAACTTAACAACAAACAACAGAATACGCCCGAGGAACCCCTCAGTACAGTATAAGCTCTCAAGCAAACCACCTCTGAAGATGTAGGCAACTCGTGTTTACGAAACGTTAGGTAGAAATTCTTTGTACGATGGCCTAAAAACTCAAAAAACTCACAAGTTTCCAGGAATGGCCTTGAAAGCTTATCTCGATTTATAAAATTGAAGTAATTTTTGTTGTCATAAAAAACCATTTTATAATTGTTTATCATAAAAAACGCTGCATTACCTATCTGTTTGTGGAGCAGGTGTTCTTGGAGTAGCAGCGGCATGTGGAGTCACAGTATAGTCATTCAACAATGTATCCGTAGAATCCACGCCACTCTCAGACGCAACTTCGCGGGCTACTTCACTTGCTTTTCCCAACTTAACCACTTGATGTAGTTCCTGATCTGTGATTTGAGGTGCTGGAAGCACCAGCTTAGATCTGAAACCAAACAGAACGGTTTAGTTTAGTTGAGACTTCTCCTGTGCTCGATGACAAGGTTAGATTAATTAATTTTACCTTTTCCTAGCTGGTTCCTGGTTTTGAAGCATCGCCTCTGGAATGTCATTCTCCTTTCTCTGCTTCAACTTTTGCTTATCTTTGTTCCTCTCTTTTTCTTCTTGTTCGCTACGTAAATCACCATCCAGTTTTTGTTGTGTCATTCGGGAAAAATCGGGCGCCATTGGGTCCAACGCCTGAAACAAATGATAATGCACACTTTTGACGAACAAATAAGGGCCCTACAATTTGTTTTCACATTCTGTCTGGTCATAACAAATCCATCAGCAGTCAAAGTTTAAACTTACACAAAACGCGCCGAAGCGACGAGTTTTGGCTGATCGTAATGTGACGTCACGAAGCATGATTCTACTCCGCCACATTCATCGCTTATACATGTTTCCATGCTCTAATGTGAATATTGTGTGTTGGTTTGCTTGTTTCTCAATTATTGAAAGTAAAATGGCTTATAAGTACTGTATGGTGCCGCAGTGTACAAGTACCACTACGTCTACACCAGAAAAACATTTGTAAAAGTGCCATTGAACGAAAAGAAACGGAAATTGTGGTTGAAAGCAGCGCGGCGAAACTGCACCGATCTTTCTGCAAAAAGCAACATTTATGCCTGTGAGGATCATTTCAATGTAAGATCGCATAAAAGCAATAATATTTATAGGGTTCTTAACACTGTGTGTTCGTTAGATTTAGATTTCACTTTTGTTTCATTATGTGCAAATTTTATTTATTTTATTTCACAGCTTGAAAAAGGCATGGAAAATTTTATGGAGTGGAAATGATGGGAGTTCAGAAAAGAATGAAAAAATATGTTGTTCCACTCCACAGAAACTTGTCTGCCAAAAAGACAGAAAACGAAGTAGTGACGCTCCTGTACGAGCCGTAGTTTTGAAACGTAATAGACTTAACATTATAAATGACGCTTTAGATGCAAGACTATACCTGGGTATAAATAAAGGTTTATTTATAATTAAGCTAGTTAGAGAGACTACAAAATTGGGTTTTGTAAATATTTATCCAGTTCTTCAAAAAATATGCCTTAACAAAACTTTTGCTGAACTAGGTGATGATTTTGAATTTTCCGCAAATACAACGAGTAGAATTTTTGCAAACAATCTTCCATTAATTAGCGAGATGTTAAAGACTTTAATAGTCTGGATGCTACCTAATAAAGTTAAAAAACGTCTAAAAAACCTATACATTTTCGTGCACATTATAGTAAAGTTTACGCCATAATCGATTGTTTAGAAATTGAAATTCAGAAGCCGTAAGATCCAGTCAAACAAACTCTTACATGGTCAGATTACAAGAAAGCTAATACCATAAAGTATCGATGTCGTCAACCACAGATGGCACAATAACTTATATTTATTATGCCTTAAATGTCAATGTCTTAAATAAGCTTAGCTTGATCTTATGCAATATGCAAGTGAACATTCTGCTGGTTATGGGCATACAACTAGCGTAGGATTTGTGCCACTCTACGTCATAGCCAGTAAAACAACGTTCTCGTGACGTACTTTTACAAGCAAATTTGGTAACTTTTGTTCCCTTTTTTTGATAATATTTTTTAGAAATTTTCTTTGGGCATTCTTCTAAACGACCCTCACGCTATATTTGAAAAAAGTTTCAACCAAAAAAAAAGTTTGTGCAACGACTCTATTAACTTAAGACCAGATGTACCTCATTGGAAGTGTCATAAAAACCTAGCGCTGGACGTTTCTCGAAAGGAATTTCCGCATTGTAATCAACTCCTCTCTTCTTGCGTCGACGTGGAGCGACCTCGATTCCAGCAGCTCGAAGTTCTCTTCTTTTCTGAAGCGCAGCAAGTCTTCTAGCTTCTTCGAGTTGCTTTTCTCTGGCTTTACGCTTAGCCTTTTTACCTGTAGCGTATTGAAAATTAGGTAAACTATATTTGTTTAACGTAAAACTCGGTCGTACCTTGAGTATTGGCTAGCCGAGCTCGAGCTTCTGACAACATTTCGAGTTCATCTTCGTCCATATCTTTCGGGTCAGGCCTTGCCGGTTTGGTTTCGGGATTTGGGTCGATTTCTCCAGGTTTAAGTTTCCTGGGATCATCCCCATCATCTCCATCTTCTTTCTTTTGAGCCTGATCTAACAAATATTCATATCTGAAAACAACAAAAAATATCTAGTTTTTTGTAATACAATTGTGTTTGTGTTGTAATATATTTTAAATAATTAATTTAATGAGTAATTGGCGCCATTTCTTTAATTTAGAGAATGCGGAACGAATGCTATAAAAAATTCTAATAACGCTTTCTTCACACTCGTCACGTAAGCTTCAATAATCCTTTAAAATGAATTATGCCAATTTTGCATAATCCTGCAGACATTATATAAAGAAAACCATTTTTGTGCAATTTTCCTCACCTTTCCAAGCATTGAGCAGCTGTACGTCCTATAATAGGTGCTATAGTTCGCCATTGAGTCGGCATAAGCTTAGCCAAGTGCAAAAGCTTTTCATCTTCTTCACGAGACCATTCTGTTTTCTTTATGCTTGGGTCCAGCCATTCGAACCAACGAGCCTTGCATTGTTTAGCGGATTTCCTATGGAGGAGTGAGGCAATTCGAGACCATTGGTTTTTACCATATTTCATAACAGCCGCTTTGAGAATTTCATCCTAGAGGAAAAATTTGTGATACATTTATTCATGATTCTTTATTTAAAAATATACAATTTGCTGGGTTCAAGTAAACGTATTATCTTGTTTGACACTATTGACGGGTTTTTGCAACAAAAATAAATTGATCAATAAGTGATAGCGGCATTAAGGCACCATCAAATTAATATTTCGCTTGTGTTCTACAGCAAATATTACATGAACACAATATTAGTCTGCAGTCGCAGGCATCATAGTAAGTAGGTCGGAAACATTTTTGAATTGTTGATTCATTTACGGTAAAGTAATTCAAAAACCTTTTTATTTTTCGACAGAGCAATCCCATAGCGACAGTCAGTGCAGCCTCGTACGCGTAGGGTCCCATTTGTCTATGTAACCTCAAAAAGTTTTGTTCTTAAATTTGTGTGTGTTTGTTAACAAAAGGGTAAGTATTTTCTACAAAATCAATTTCCAAGCATAAATTATGGGTTTACTCAATTCCCTAGCCTACAAATAGCCAGTAGATAAAAGCCAAATAACAATAAAATGATGGTCCATCTGTGCCTACCACTTAGGACAGTTGGACCAATATTTCGTAGGACAGACGGAACATCATTTACTTTTGCTTACTTTTCTAATTTCAGTATGTTAATCACGATTTTTACTGTGTACATTCGAAAAAATTCTAAAGAAAGAGGCCAGTGGAGTTAGGAAAACCTGAAAAATGCTGGATTAGCAATCGACAATAACAAAATGGGAGTCAAGCATGCTGCTGACTGCTTGAACTTTTGGGATTTCCAAATCCACTCTGAAGAGACCTTTAAAATCCCGTTACTTGAAGAAGCACTTTCGTTTACGTCCTGAATCATTACTCGGCGAATAAAATGAAATTAAACTAGTCTATTGTAGGTGGTATATTATTCAGGGTGAGTCAAAATTGGCGTCATTCCTTTTAAGGGGTGATAGAGGCTCTCTTGGGGAGTACCAGAAAAATATTGAAATTTTCTTTTTCGAAAATTTCTAGAAGATATTACCAGTTGAAGATCGAATTTCAACTTTGTTATTAAGAGTTATTTTGAAAAAATTCAACGTTGGATTGGCAGCCTATTGGAATACTTAAGCATTCAAAAAGAAAAATTACGATCTTTGCTTCAAATTACAAAAATTTTTGATATCAAAAAAGTT